TGTATATTAGTGTAGTGTATAGTAGTGTAGTGTATAGTAGTGTATAGTGTATAGTAGTGTAGTGTATAGTAGTGGATAGTGTATAGTAATGTAGTGTATAGTAGTGGATAGTGTAGTGTATTGTGTAGTGTATAGTAGTCTAGTGTATAGTGTAGTGTATAGTAGTGTATAGTGTATAGTAGTGTAGTGTATAGTTTTGTATAGTGTTCTGTATAGTAGTGTATAGTAGTGTAGTGTATAGTAGTAAAGTGTATAGTAGTGTATAGTGTAGTGTATAGTGTAGTGTATAGTAGTGTATAGTGTATAGTAGTGTAGTGTATAGTAGTGTATGGTGTAGTGTATAGTGTAGTGTATAGTAGTGTATAGTAGTGTAGTGTATAGTGTAGTATATAGTGTAGTGTATAGTAGTGTAGTGACATCGCGGAATGTCACTGTGCAGTGCCGGCCGGCCCTAGAGAGGCACGGTGAGCGCTGATTGACACCGTTGGATGGCACCACGCTTGGCGTGCAGTGCCAACCCCTACAGGACAGGGTGTGTGGGTGCGGCCGTAGGAACGAGGTTACTCGAGGCCATGGCACTCTGGTTGACCCGGGAGGACACGTGACCAGTTAAGTCCACGCAGGGGCCCCAAGTGGGGGCTAGGGGTGGTCACGTGGTCGGGGTCCAGATCCCTCCCGAGGATTCTGTAAGGTGGACGTGGCCAAGGGAGGAGCCGGCCACGCCGCAGAGAATAGAAGCCGGGTCCCCAGAGGGACCAGGGTTGTTGTTTTTGTTCATCCTGGAAGAAACTTTCGTCAACGTTCTCCGTTCAACGAGTCTCCAGCACGTGGACCTGGACCCGATCTGTTGATCCCGGTCCGTAGCAGTAGTTACGTTGTAAGTAGTGTAGCGCCTGGTGGTAACCACCTGGCTAACTACACCAGTCACGTGGTAACTAGTGTAGCTAGCCTGGTGGTCACCACCTGGTTAACTACACCAGTCACGTGGTAACTAGTGTAGTTAGCCTGGTGGTCACCACGTGACTAACTACACCAGTCACGTGGTAACTAGTGTAGCTAGCCTGGTGGTCACCACGTGGCTAGCTACACCAGTCACGTGGTAACTGGTGTAGCTAGCCTGGTGGTCAGCACCCAGTTAACTACACAAGTCACGTGGTAACTAGTGTAGTTAGCCTGGTGGTCACCACCCGGTTAACTACACCAGTCACGTGGTAACTAGTGTAGCTAGCCTGGTGGTCAGCACCCAGTTAACTACACAAGTCACGTGGTAACTAGTGTAGCTCGCCTAGAGGTCACCACCATAGGTTGTTGTTCTGTTAAGGGGAAGTTACCCCGTGTGTTGGAGTTAAATAAATGTGTTGCCTCCAAGTCTACGTCTGAGACTCAGTTGAACTCACTGCACATGTGCTATTGCACCATCATAATAATATGATGGTGCAATGGGCTGGACAGGGTTTCGCATTGCCTCTCACATCAGGAATCGCGGGTGCATATAGTTCAATAATTTATTTTAATCTTTATTGTAAACGACTGAAGGTGCCCAGTATGGGGGAAGGCATTGCCCCCCCCCCTCCCCACGTGCCGCCCCCCCCAACTCCGCCCATGATAATTTATATTAACTACTCACTAGGTATACAGTCTAGGCATGCACGTGCACCGTGTGTTCGCCCAAGCAGACACTCGATGGCCCGCCAGGAGTGTGAGAGGAGACGTGAAACTCATCGGTTGCAACGAGAACGATGTTTTGCTCGTCGCGTAGAACGATCGGTGCCACGGCTGCCTCGAGTCGCTGGCAGTGCACGGGCACTTTGAGAATCTCAGATGCGGGCATTTAAATTGGATTAGGGTTGTAGGTGTGAGCCAGGAATCTCAGGGTGACACAGTTTTATGGGGTGGCAGGGTGACTCAGAGATTGAGATATTCATAGTTGAGCCGGCACTGCTGAGATGCTGGGCTCGAATCTGGGTTTCAGTCGTCGCTGCCTTTGATTAATCCTGTGGTTAATCCTGTGATTGATCCTGTGATTAATCCGGGTTCTCGAGTGCAGAAGAGTCGAAAGCTTGGGCTTTGTCAGCCACAACCAAACACAGCTCATTTAACATTTGGATTGTTACGTATCTTGGTGAAGTTAATACTAATACATGCCCTCTTTGAGAATTAACTATTTGTTTGTGTCATTTTACGAACACCAGTCTCATAGCAGAGTGTGGTAACGTTCAATCCCTAGTGTGAACGTTTTTTCGCGTGGAAAATCTCTCTTCTAAGCTCGACACAATAGGATAGCTCCACCTGAGCTTTCCAAATTAATTTTGTCCCGCGACTTGATGCCGAAAATACACCAGGTATAAAATTGTCAAAAAAAAATCAAAGGGACAAAAAAGTGACACGATGTTGCACCGCTGGTGACTGCATCATCATCATCAGCTATCCTTTATCCACTGCTGGTTGAAAGTCATCATGCTTCATCGTTTGGTGTTTGCCGAATTCCCTTGTCACGTGAGCTGGATCTCAACGCTCCGTCTCTGCTGTGGTCGCCCTGTTGCGCTCACTCCACTGGCTGCTATTCTGCCACCAGTCTCGCCCATGGGTACATCATTGTGATCACGTTTCGTGAAATATTTGTTATTTGTATATGTTAGACAAATTCATCTTTCGCGAGGTGGGAGCCGTGTTTCAGGATCAGGGAGGGCCAGTCACTGAGACAGGCATTGGGGTCGTCTCCACGTGTCTGGCGACCAAGGGGAAGGCCTGAGAGCAGGTGGTGGTGGTGGTGGGAGACCACGAGCGCAGATCGTAGAGGTCACTCTGCGTCTCTTGTAGAGGTCACTGCATCTCTTGTAGAGGTCACTGCGTCTGCTGCAAACGTCACTCTCCATCTCCTGCAGAGGTCACTCTGCGTCTCCTGCAGAGGTCACTCTGCGTCTCTTGTAGAGGTCACTCTGCGTCTCTTGTAGAGGTCACTGCGTCTGCTGCAAAAGTCACTCTCCATCTCCTGCAGAGGTCACTCTGCGTCTCCTGCAGAGGTCACTCTGCGTCTCTTGTAGAGGTCACTCTGCGTCTCTTGTAGAGGTCACTGCGTCTGCTGCAAAAGTCACTCTCCATCTCCTGCAGAGGTCACTCTGCGTCTCCTGCAGAGGTCACTCTGCGTCTCTTGTAGAGGTCACTCTGCGTCTCTTGTAGAGGTCACTGCGTCTGCTGCAAAAGTCACTCTCCATCTCCTGCAGAGGTCACTCTGCGTCTCCTGCAGAGGACACTCTGCGTCTCTTGTAGAGGTCACTCTGCGTCTCTTGTAGAGGTCACTGCGTCTGCTGCAGACGTCACTCTCTGTATCTCCTGTGCAGCAGCAGCACCCGTGGGATCTGGTGGAGGAGCTCTAAGCGTTGGTGGGGTGGTGACATTAATGGCCTTGGCCACGATGACTTCTTGATCTTAAAAAATATGTCTTTTTGAAATGTACGCATCAGAAACACGCAGGGCGGACAAACGAGATTTACTTTTTTATTTTAACATCATCGATATTTACAGTTTTCACATGCCAAGTTTGCATACACAGAGCTCAGAATAACGCTAAATCGTTACAATATGGACGAGAATAATACATTTCACGCGTGGGTGTAGTCCGGACCAGGTTTAAAGTTTTACACGTGTGGTACAGATTACAGGTGTTGGCAAAACAGCCGTGTGATTTTCAACGCAACCACAGGCATCGCTCGCTCAGCGTTTCGCAAAGCGCAATAAATGAACGAACCCTGGGTCTGCGTTCAGACGCGCTCACATCGTCTCGTCAGTCGGTCGCGCTCAGGGTCCTGAGTGGGCAGCAGCTGTAACCGTCGTCGGATTCGTCCTTGACTAAGATGTATAAAAAGTAAAAAAAAAACTCTCGTCGCTGATTTCGTGAGCAAAAGCACTGAGCGGTGAGACTGGGGTGAGGGGTCTCCTCCTCCTGCTGGAGGTGCCGTGGCACCGGCAGAGACTCAAAACCACCCAGCGATGACGGAGCTAAACCCGGGGGACCATCGTTTGTCAGACTAATACAACAAAAAAATCGCTCACGTCTGCATACCGGTTCTCAGCAACGCCATCGCCTTTACCAATCAAGAGCCGAATGGCTCACAGGGCTATACCTAATACATGAACTTGAACTTGAACACCCACCCATTTGTATTTTGTTTTCCATTAAATAAAATCTATTGTTTTTGTTGTCGTTGTTATCATATACTTTATGTAAAAAAAAAATCACTTTTATAGAATGTAATGTATCAACTGTAACAGCCGTGTAAAAATAATATCTAAAGAGTTGTATTATCTAAAGAGGTTTTATTGCAAGCCGGTTTGGCCAGACATGATATCATTTTGCAAGCCCCCCCACCCAGCTATTGTTCACCCCATGCCATATTTCATCAGCCCCGGGAGTAATTTGGTCTTCGTAGGGCGCTGAGTGTTTCCTCATCGTCGGGGGGAGGGAGGGAGAGAGGGTGGGGGGTGCCTTGTAGTTATTAAACAAATCACACCTTCCCCCTGTGGCGTAAGGATCGGCGCAAAACTGGACTTTTCGAGCCGATCTCCCTGGCGCGGCGGTTTCAACAATGGGGCAAGTTTCTTACATTCCCACCGCCGTCTTTGTCCACCCCGCAGCGTGCAGAGGTTCGCCACCACAGCGAGTCAATCGGCGGGTCGCGTGCGGCGGGGTAAAGTGTGGACACTCACACCTCTTCCAATACGTTCGGTCAGCGTGGAAGAGTGGGCGGAAATAAAATGCCCTCTGGAAAAGCTCTTAATATATATTTTTTCCGAGTGGAGGCTCTTGCATCGGCGGTGGCGTGAGCAAAGCATTATACTGGTGAGGAGGGTGGGGCTGGGTGGGGAGGTGGGGAGGAGCTGGGTGGGGAGGGTGGGGAGGGGCTGGGTGGGGAGGGTGGGGAGGGGCTGGGTGGGGAGGGTGGGAGGGGCTGGGTGGGGAGGGTGGGGCTGGGTGGAGGGTGGGAGGGGTGGGGCTGGGTGGGGAGGTGCTGGTCACCCCGTGGTGCCCTTATAAAACTCAACGTTTAACCTACTCACGCCGGCTTGTGCCCGCCCTCACAGTCAGGAATATTTGCGGAATACACCACGCCGCCGTTGACCCTGGCCATTGACCGAGCAACCCAACGTTCCTACCAGCTCCCTCCGCAGGAATGTGTTAATTGCTGCTCCCGTGTCCTTCGAACCGCGATCTGCCTTCAAATCTCCAACCACCAAAGTTTACCGATGGCTGCCAGTGAGATGTGCACTTCACAAAGCATCACGGCGGGCACCATAAACCCCCCCCCCCCAGCACTGGACGTGCGACTTTAGAGGACCCGTCGCTGGGCGTGAGCCTGCGAGCGAGCCCCCTGACCGTCGCAATGTCCACCATCTGTCGCGCTCATGGGGCACGTGCCGTCAGTTCCGCCGTAAGTTGAAATTCAGCAAAATGTGAAAATGGCCGTGGCAATGATGGTACCACGTGACTTTCGGGCCGTTAATTACCCTAAGCGAAAAACGTTGAGCCGAAAACGCTCATTTAAATTGGTCATAGCCGTTTATTTTCAGAACTTTTCATTGCCGTGTGTGTTATTTTGTAAATAACGCGCAAGGAAACAATGAGCGAACGAGACGATAATCTTTTACAAGCAGACGACAACCAAACTCTCGTGGATTCTACATCGCATTGTGGTCTCGCCACAATACCGCAGTCTACGCTCAAGGTAATCATCAGAACTTCCGCTCGCATCCTCGGCTAGGGAATCAATCGATCCTTGCGGGACATTGTGCCTTTTGCTGTACCGCATTCTCTGTTTAACACGACGACATCTGGAAAGTGTCTGGTGTCAAGAGTTAACACAAATCTGGTCACACGCGCAAACGAACGCACGCACGCACGCACGCACTCTTACTAGATTAGAAGATCCACCCCGCAAACGTTTGCTTTAAAGTACACAGGGATGTAAAAGTGGTATGTCACGGAGAATAACGGTAACTTGGCGTTTGACCTGTGCGTGCGTGTTTTGTGTTTTTTACCAGCTGTCGCGACCGTTTGACCTTTCCGACGCGGTGATTTGTGGATCGAGCCGTTGGGTTGACTCCCACGCTTCATTGAGGTCATCACCCATTTCGGAGGCGTAATCGCCTACATCGTCGCCATCGCCACCGCCGTCGTCTTCATCATCAACCTCATCCTCCAAGTCCTCCAAGTCGTACTCCTCCGTCGCTAGAAAATAGAAACAAATGCAATCATGATAACCGAGATGCCAAGGTAGACATTTCAGATGGCAAAAGGGCAACGCATGCTGCTGCATGGCAAGGTGACGTCACCACCTTTGGGAACGGCCAGTCAAACCCACAGCTTCTCCGGGTTCGATTTGGGCTCAACTAAAACCGATGGTCTTTGGTTCTTTTGGTAAAGTTACGTAGTTAGAAATAAAATAAAATAATTTCTACCCACGTGACTTTACCGAAAGAACCAAAGAGTATGGATTCCTGCAGTCACGAAAGCTTCAAATCAAGGTTAAAACCGATAGAAACCGGTTTACAGGTTCAACAGGGGTTCGGAAACAATGGGCAGCGCTTAACTGAATCGGCACAAACCGTGAAAGATGCGGACACCGAATGGAAAATTAAAGACTCCCTCGTGTGTGCGACTGCGGCTATGACCACCAAACCATGGATCTGGTAACACGTGAAGGTGGCCAGTGAAGGGTCGGCGAGTGGGCGGGTGAGCAGGTGTATCGGCGGATCCCCGAGCTCCCGAGGCGAAGCAATTGACGCGCTCCGCACGAGCCACGCGGCACAAAGCGGAGAGGGGATTTGGAGCCGCGTACTCACGGCCGCAGAATCCCGGCGCTCGCGCCTCCAGGTACACTCCGCGCGCGCACGCGGCCTCGCGCATCGCGCACGCGCTCGGGTACGTCACGTTGTCGGAGGCGCACACGGCCGCCCCCTCGTCCGGGCCGTCGCGGGTCGCCGTCGGCGCCGTCGAGCACGGAGCCTCGGGGCAGAGCACGCAGTGCGGCCGCCGCGACTCCGAGTCCCAGAGGCAGCGGCGGCCGGGGCCGCAGCGCGTGTCGGCGCAGGACGGGCGGTCTGCGGGGCGGGGGGTGAGCGCGGCGAAGTGGGTGACGATTGGAGCGGCACGCACGCGCGTACCACGCGCAACTTCTTTCACGCCGTACGTAGCCGACCGCGCTAAACCAGAGGTCGCAAACGGGTTTTGATTCCTTACCTGTACCCGTACCCGGCCGCACCAGGGTCGCAAATGGGTACCCGTTCCCTACCCGTACCCGTAACCTACCCGAAATGAGTGACAAACGGTTACTCACCAGTGACTCACGGCCTACCCGTACCCAGCCGCACCAGGGTCGCAAACGGATATCCGTACCCGGCCGGGTAGCCGGGTATCGGGTAGGGTACGGGTATCGGGTACCCGGTTGCGACCTCTGCGCTAAACGGAGGTGCGGGCACAACATGGACCCATGCGCCTGGAGGAGATGTCCCAATAACTGGAGGTAGCGAAGCTTTGATCGTACCGATTTATTTGTACGGGGTAAGAGAGAGCGAAGTGGCTGTGTATAACCCCGCTCATTTTAAAGTGACTATCGCATAATTTTGTTAATTTGGGGTGGTGTAAACAAATTGGAACCGCTTTTGCCTTCTGCCATCCCAGGTGGCACCGACGAGTGAGACGTCTGGTCCACGGGCTCACGGACTCCGCCTCGCTGTGATCCGACAGGGTTAGGGATTGGTGGCGGGCAATAGGATTCGGGGTTTTAAGAGTTTAGATCTCGGGTTTACTGTGGGATTTAGCGTTCTGGGTTTAGGAGTTTGTGGTCTAGCAGAGACGATCGGCCTGCCAGGGCCCCGCTGTGTGCCACGCCGATTAAAGCCTCCCACGTTTGGCAGACGATGTTGGGCTCAGGGTCAGGAGATTCGTGCTGGGGGTGCGCGGTTTAATGCGTGCGCTCAGGGACTGAGTTTCAGAACGAGGGGGTTTGGCTGAGGGTTTAGTGTCAGGTTCAGGGTGAGAGTTTTGTTGTCGTTGTTAGAGCTCAGAGGGGTTTACACTGGCAGGGCCCGTGGTTAGGGTGAGGGGGTGAGGGTGAGGGGGTGGGGGTGAGGGTGAAGGGGTGATGGGGAGGGCTCAGGGGTGAGGGTGAGGGGGTGAGGGCGGGAGCTCAGGGTGGCGAGTGCACAGGGGTTTCACCCTGGCAGGGCCCGTGGTTAGGGTGAGTGCTCAGGGGGTGAGGGTTCAGGGGTGAGGGAGAGGGCTCAGGGGTAAGGGTGAGGTGGTGAGGGTTCAGGGGTGAGGACTCAGGGATGGGGGAGAGGGGGGTGAGGGGGTGAGGGGTGAGGGCTCAGGGGTGAGGGTCAGGGGTGGGGGCTCAGGGGTGAGTGCTCAGGGTGGCGAGTGCTCAGGGGTTTTACCCTGGCAGGGCCCGTGGTTAGGGTGAGTGCTCAGGGGGTGAGGGTTCAGGGGTGAGGGAGAGGGCTCAGGGGTAAGGGCTCAGGGGTGAGGGTTCAGGGGTGAGGGCTCAGGGGTGAGGGGGTGGGGGCTCAGGGGTGGGGGTGAGTGCTCAGGGGTTCTACCCTGGCAGGGCCCGTGGTGCGCCACGCCGATGGAGCGACCGCGTTGGCAGGTGGCGCGGCGCAGGTGGCACACGCCGGGGTAGGTGACGCCGTCGTTGCCGCACAGCGTGGAGCGCGGCGACACCCCGGCAGCGGCCGTGGCGGTGGCCGTGGTGGCGGTGGCGCAGGGTCGCAGGCTGCAGCTGACGCAGTGCGCCGTGCTGCTCTGGTCCAGCAGGCACACGGAGGCGCCGGGGCACGGCACGGCCGCGCACGACCCTGCGGGGGGGGATGGCGGGGTTGGGGGGGGTGTGGACGGGGCGATGGGGGGATGGGGGGGGAGGGGGGATGGGGGGAGTGGGGGGGTGAGGGGGGGTTTGGGGGGATGAGAGGGTTGGGGGTTGGGGGGGATGGGGAGAGTGGGGGGGTGGGGGGTGGGGGGGTGAGGGGGGTTTGGGGGGATGGGGGGGGTTGGGGGGGTTGGGGGGATGGGGGGAGTGGGGGATGGGGAGGGTTGGGGGGGGGTGACAGCGGCACTCCGCTCTGAGTCCCCCCTAGGTTTTGTTTTGTTTTGTAAATCGCAGTTTTTGCTGAGCGCGGGCTTAAATAAGTAACATTTAAAAATACTTTTTTAACACGCTTTTATGAAATGTACAAGTAATGGAAGAACTCCACGACTCCAGGAAGTGGCCCCGAAGCTTGCCATAACGTGTGGGACCGTGGCCAATTACAGCCAACGTCAGTTGAGCGTGGACAGTTAGACCCAAGCCGAAACATAAGATATAAAAAAGATAGTTTAAAAAATATATATATTATGATAGAATATAGTATTGTCATCAGTATGACATAAGTATACCAAGTTTGCAGTCGATACCACATTGGGAAGTGGGTTAAAATTGAGTTACAAGATTTGAGGATACAACAACAACAGACAGAATGAGTTAAATAAAAGCGTGTAATAATAAAAAACGAAATGCCGAGATGGCGAGCAGTACAAACAAGCGCCATTCGAAGGCGTTAGAATGGATGACGGCGGTTGACGGGATCGCTGAAGTTGAACAAAGTTCGAGGCGATGGGAAAGAATTACAAAGAAGCACAAACTGAGAAGTGAGGGTGACCTGCAGTGTGGTGAGTGCGGTTTTTTTGCGTGAGCGGGTGTGTGAGTAGGGCGAATGAGCTTGTGAGTGAGTGAGTGTGTGAGTGGGTGAGCGTGTGAGTGGACGTGTAGGTAGTTTAAAGAGAAAAAATTAACCCGTAAAAACAAAGTTTTTCACTATAAATCCTTTATATGCGTGGCATCGGTTTTATTTTATTATTCATTTCTGTTTTTCTTGAGTAAGAGTTTCATTTTTATCACATTGGTATTTTAAATTAAATATGATTTTTTTTTTCCTAAAATGTGGAAAATTTTGGAAAACATTTTTCACGAAAATAAATTGTCACGGACAACGAGTCTGTGTGGAAAATGTCAGCTCGATTGGATCACGGGAAGTGGGTTAAAAAACGACCGAAAGATTTGCACGGTCGTAAGCAAGCAAGCACGCAAGCAAGCAAGCGAACTTAATATAAAGGATTTAATAAAAATAAATCATAATCCAAAACTACAAACTGAGTGGAATTTGTTTTTGGTTCACACTTCACGTGGCCTTAAATAGCCCATAGCCTGTCGCAAGCGCCGTGGTGACATCACCGCCACTTAGTGGCGAATGACGGTGGTTGTTGTTGTTGTTGGAGTGAATGGTGCGAGTGTGTTGTTGTGACCTGCAGTGTGGTGGTTGAGCACAGCGTGGACGAGAGAGACATGGGTGGAGGAATCAATCCGAGCGAAGTTCATTGGGAATGGTAGCCATGGCAGTAGCGGTAATATGACGCTCTCAAACCTGCCAAACCCTTATCAGTGCCCTACCTTATTACAGACCAATTCAGACCTTACTGGTCACCCCGTGCCCCTTATAAAATCTCAACGTTCATCCTACAAAGTCCCATCACAAGGAGAGAAACACAAACAAATAGACACAAAATTACGGTGGTTTTTTGCCTATATTGAAACGGCTGTACGCCATACGAACCAAAAAACTAAATTTCCCTGTACAAGAAAACGGTGAACCCGTATGGGTCGACACGGTATGCGCTCTCGAAAGGAGCGAGGTTACGCGAGGCTTGGGAACACAAGTGAGGCCAGCCTCGCTTCCCGGCCACGTCCCCAGCCCGATGTTTCAGCATCCGTAGACACCGCACACGATCCAGGACCTGCCAATTGGGGGCCCACGCGTCGAACACGCGCCCACGGACTCACTCATGCAGGGCCCCGGGTACTGCACGGAAAGGCCTCTCTGCCCCCGGCATCGTGCCCTCAGCAGGGCGCACTCGTCCCTGAAGGTGCGGCCGCTGGAGGCACACACGGGGCCCGCGCGCGTGGCCGGGGGGCACGGCGGCGCGCAGAGGCAGCGGGGGGCCCCGTTGCGGCCCACGCGGCACCGCTGGTCGGGGCCGCACTCGATGCGGTCGCAGGAGCCTGGAGCGGGAACAGCGGCGGAGGCGGCGGCGTCAGCGGCACGAAGCGAGCGGCTCGTCTGTGTACGCAGCCGCCAAATGGTCCTGTTGACACTGTGGCCTGCGACACTCACCACCTGCCCTCCCCTGCCCCCACGGTTGTAACTTGAGTTCTGTGTAAGTCGTCCCTACGATCTGTCTAGATGTGAGATCTGCCCGAGCAGGCTCGCTTTCACGGCGAGCTTATTGCTCAACCGCCACTTTAGCGTTTGTGCAATGTTTATTTTGTTTGCAGTTTTCTCAGGAGTTGACACACGGCATTTTATTTTTGGGGCTCTCATTTCTCATCGCTTTGTTGCCGCACTTTATTCAAATTTCGATTTAAAGCTTTCGTGACTGCAGGGATTCATCTTCTTGGTTCTTTCGGTAAAGTCACGTAGATTTTAAATAATAAATAAAATAAAAATAAAACATAATAAAAATAAAGACAGAGTCTGTCTCCTCGACAGACCTGTTCTCCACCTGAGGACGGCTACTTGCGTTGTGGCCGAAACGTCGTGAGAATTATTTAATTATGTTTTATTTTTATTATTTTATTGTTTCAATTCTACGTGACTTTACCGAAAGAACCAAGAAGGTTTATTCAAATTGTTTTCCTCCGCCTGCACTCCGGTGACCTCGGGTGATTCTCGCAAACGAGAGTCGTTCCCAATTCCTCCTCCACCCGAGATCTCGCCCCGGTTAAACAAAATACAACTTGAACTTGGCTCGGCAACGGCCGCTTGCTTCGCCACTCAGTGCGGCTGGAATGCCCGCAGAGGTTGCGCCAGGCTAGGTGCACATTGAGGGTCACGTAAAGTGTTGAAGAGTCGCTGGCAGGAGATCGCGGGACAGACCCGGAGCATGAACATTGTCGTCTCGAAACAACTTTCTCAACCGGCATTCCACCACCGCCTCCACAATCCTCGTCGTCATCATTCTTATCGTCACGAGCGCTGTCTTCATTATCATTCACCATCACCGCCACCACCAAAACTTCCATCATCATCACCACTACTACCACCACCGTCACGAACACCACCGTCACCAGCAACACACTGTCACCACCACAACCAGAATCACCAACACCAATGCAATCACCACTAGTACAATCATGAAAATTATTACTACCAACACAATCATAACCACCATCACCCTGATCACCCTGATCACCTTGATCACCAGAACCCTCCTGGCTTGTAAAAATAAAAATAAACATTTCCTGAAGAAGAGCATTGTGTTAAATTTCGATTTAAAGCTTTCTTTGACCGCAGGGATTCATCTTCATGGTTCTTTCGGTAAAGTCACGTAGAATGGAAATAATAAAATAATAAAAATAAAACATTATAAAATGATTCTCACGACGTTTCGGCCACAACGCAAGCAGCCGTCCTCAGGTGGAGAACAGGTCTGTCGAGAAGACGTTTCGGCCACAACGCAAGCAGCCGTCCTCAGGTGGAGAACAGGTCTGTCGAGAAGACTCTGTCTTCTGTCTTCTCGACAGACCTGTTCTCCACCAGAGGACGGCTGCTTGCGTTGTGGCCTAAACGTCGTGAGAATTATTTTAATATGTTTTATTTTTATTATTTTATTATTTCCATTCTACGTAACTTTACCGAAAGAACCAAGAAGATGAGCATTGTGGCCATCCTCTTGCCCTAGCTCACCATCAAAATCAACGTGAGCAAAAAACGCAGTGCACGGTGGTGCCGCTTGCCGTAGACGCGCGTGTGGCATTAGCAAGCCCGGCACTCGGGGCCTTCCGGCTACTCCGCGTGCCTCCAGCGGCCATCCGTGGGCGCGAGGCGCTTACCCCGGCTGCAGGGCACGCACGGCGTGGCGCCGCCGCTCAGCTTCCAGCGGAAGAGGCTCTCCGGAGATGCGTCGAGGCCGCTCCACGCGCGGCCAGGCCCGTGCGCCGAGCAGCACTCGGCCATGGAGACCCCGACCTGCAACAGCGAGCCCTGGCACCTGCCACCCTCGCCCCGACGCAGCCAGCAGATGCCCCCTGCACGCACCACGATTCAAAGAACACAGGATGAGATGTTACTATCCTTTGTGCAAGCACTTCCAAGAGTTCATGAACAGTGAGCCTGGTGAAATTTGGGGAGCGCATCGTCAGTAGTGAACCTTTGGTTCCTAGGGTGTTTCGGCCTTTCATACTATACACCCTCCCCAAAGGCGGCCAGCGACAGGGTGATCAATCCTACGCTTGCGTCCCATTCCCAATTAGTCATAGGAGTTGCCTTGTTGTTGATAGCCAACATCCCATGGGACTATGCATGGCAGGGGCGTCCTCCTCCCTGAGTCAAGCATTGTTGACTGCATACCTCCTGGCCCTCTCACTTTGGGGCCCAGCTGGGGTCTTTCCTCTTCATCCAGAGCCACTGACTGCTGCCTTCTGCCGCCTCCGATACAGCTCTAATTGCCGAACGCTGGCTCTGGCCCTTAATTCCCAGGTCTCTAAGCAGTCTGGTTGTAGATGTTGCCACAAAACCTCTGCAGCCCACCTCCACTGGTCGGACTTCTGTGTTCCAGCCATGATGCCGTGCTTCGGCAGCATGTGACATTGAACATAAAGGTGCATTGAAAAATTATAATACCCCGATTGATGCTTCTGCTGTTGCGGAGTGACTCATGCAGCCAGCTACGGCTGTAGGGTTTTGGTGGTACATGTTGTTTGTGCCGTTAATTGTGAAAATTCCGTCACAGTTCCTATGATCACTGTTTCATTGCTTCCATGGCTTTATTTTGGTGATTTCGAAAAGTGTATTGGTTTAGCCATGTTTGTTTGTTGTAGTACAGAGTTAGACTGATGGCCTTAATCTAAGTTGTCTTGTGGTTGTTGTTGGATGTTTGACTTGCATCCCACTGGGATTTTTGCACACAGCGTTGGTGTACGGTGTTTTTTCTGCAATATTTTGCTGTCTTTTCTTGGATTTTCTGTTTGTACTTAGTCACATAGTCACTTTAAGATGTTTTCTTGTTCTTGGAAGACCAGGTCTGTCTCCCCGACGGACCTGGTCTTCACCTGAGGACGGCTGCTTGCGTTGTGGCCGAAACGTCGTGAGAATAATTTTATTATGTTTTAAAAAAATTTTTATTTTATTTTATTATTTCCCTTCTACGTGACTTTACCGAAAGAACCAAGAAGATGAATCCCTGCAGTCACGAAAGCTTTAAATCGAAATGTTTTCTTGTTCATGTTTTTGTGTTTTGTTTGTTGCGGTTGCACCCGATTCAAGAGCCGAATGGCTCACAGGGCTCGATACCTAATACATGAAACTTGAACTTGAACAAAAACGAAGTGGAACGGGGAGGTCGACCACGTGACGCCGTGCGCCGACGCCGCTGACGTGCGGTGCCCACTGGACGTTCCTCGTGCAGACGGAACGACTCGGGGAGGCGAGGGGCCACAGACCATGCGGTGAGCCAGCACCACATTCACAATGCCCCGCCCACCCACCCACCCAAGCTCTGCGGTCCTCTATGCATGAAGATGTTATCGACCAATGCATGTTTATACGTGTGGGAGGAAGCCGAGAGGGCAACGTTCTATGCCGTACAGATGGGGCAGATGGAGATTATCCCACGCTTAAATTTCGATCCATTCAGACTTTGTCTTCTCGACAGACCTGCTCTCCACCTGAGGACGGCTGCTTGCGTTGTGGCCGAAACGTCGTGAGAATTATTTTATTATGTTTTATTTTTATTATTTTATTATTTCCCACGCTTGCTGTACCGCCTTCTTGGCGAGCCGTGGTGCTGTGGCTAACTTCCATGATGCCCTCGGCAAGAGAGTCTCACAATCTCCGCGTGTCTGCGTGTGATCCAGCAACACCCATTGCTGCCACGTGCGCATGGCCGCCGTCACGTGTCAACGGCAGGCGTGGTGGTGGTGGTGATGAGGGGCCGTCCATAAATGACGTCACGCGATTTTGGACAATTTTTGACCCCCCCTCCCCTCGTCACACGGCGTCACAAAAAGTCAGACCCCCCCCCCCTCAAATATGACGTCACAAAGCTCTGCCCCCCCCAAAAAAATATATAAAACATGCTTCAAATCGCTTTAAACTATTGTCATTGTAGTGCGTGTTTAATGTGCCGCTGCACTCTGATGTTGTAAGAAAAACAACATTTAATAAAAAGTATATTTAATTAAGTAGAACGTGTTGTCTATATTTATTTAAAGTTGCGCATTTTGATGTGACGTCACATTTCTCAACCCCCCTCCCCCCAGGTGCGTGACGTCATTATAGACGGCCCCTTAGCCAATCAAACGAAGGGAGGGCGGGGTCCGTGGTCACATCATTACTCGATCCACAGATCTATTGGCAATTAATCGACACAGAGACGAACCCGCTAATTACGATAACCCCGCGGTATTTTTAAATCCTTTATATTAAGTTCACTTGCTTGCTTGCTTAGGACCGTGCAAATCTTTCGGTCGTTTTTTAACCCACTTCCCGTGATCCAATCGAGCTGACATTTTCCACACAGACTCGTTGTGCGTGACAATTAATGTTCGTGAAAATTTTTCATCTAAATTTTACACTTTTTAGGACAAAAATATTATATTTAATTACCAATTGCTTAATGGTGCAATGCAATCATCTGACCCATAGGTGGCAGCCATCTCAAGCCAGAGGACTAGAGGACTCTAGCCGCCACGCATATAAAGGATTTATAGTGAAAAACTTTGTTTTTACGGGTTTACTTGTTTGATGTTCGTTTGTTGTGAACCAACTGAGTGGGAATCGATAGAATTGATCTCGATGAACGATCCGCAATGATCATATATGGGCAAAGACACGCGGCCTTCAGCCAAAGCCATGTTCACTTTCTTCTTCTTCTTCCATATATGTGGGGTCGCGTCTCTGATGGGCGATTCTGTCGGGTGTACCATTTTATCGCTCCATAATAGAGGTTGTTTTGGGTTAGATCGCTGAAATGTAAATGTGTCGTGAAACCCGTCACCAGCCGACACAGCCAGTGAGTAAGGTTTGTCACGTAAACAGAACGAAAACCTCTCTTTCATCATCAGATCTCCTTTGCCAGTACCAAAATATAATAATAGGGGTTTTCCCCTTTTTTCTGGCAACAAAACTGAAACCTTTTTACAAGGATTCATGTCTGCATTAACCACAATACTTGCAGTCAAAATGCAAACAAAAAACATACTATGATAATATATGCATTGTCCTTGAAACTGATTGGTCCACACCAAGGGATGTCCCTTTTGACTGCAAGGATCGTGGTTAATGCTGACATGAATCCTCGTAAAAAAGGTCTCAGTTTTGTTGCAAAAAAGGGGAAAACCCCTATTATTATAATAAAAACCTCTCTTATTGATAATTATATTATGGATAACATTGGTTGCGAAAGCCTTCGTGTTAAACTGATTCTCTATTACAGCGCTGTAACAGGATAAAATTAATCCTCGACAGAATGAATGATAAATTATGTTCATCATTTTGGCCCATATGTGGAGCAATTGGGCATGGGTTTGCCCATATAAGGAATACTGGGACAGGGGTCGACGTATTGTTAACGATCACAAATTGTATTAAACGGAAATCGACCAATTTTTTTTACGATACAAAGCTTTATCCATGCTCGAACAAATAGTCACATGTGTAGAGGAGTAGTGGAGAGTGGTGGCGTCGTGTGCGCTGTCCGGTGCGGTGACCTCACGGGACGTGGGGTCGCACGCGCTGGGCAGTGCACGTGACATCACCCCTCCGAGGGTATATAAGGGAGACCCCGTAACGTAAGCGGGGTCACTGGAGGAACGGGGATAGTGGAAGGGGTAAAGAGGGAACCAGGGATAGTGATAAGTGTTAATAAACCCTGGCGGAAGCCCCTAACTCAACCTCCGTCTCCGAGTACCTCCGTCTACGATACAACAACTGGTGTCAGAGTGTCTGCACTGCTGCTACAATGTTTACATCGGGAGCGGAGCGCAAGAACCCAGCGACGGGACGATCGGAGGATGAAGACGGCGGGGAGGAGGCTTCGGCAGTGACCCCGGAGTCCGGGGCTCCGGTGACAGGCCCCGAGAAGACGACGGGCGGGGGTGCCAGCTCGCCGCCACCACCGCTGGAGACGGGGAGCACCCCTGCAGACCTGCTGAGGCAGCTCCTGCAGGCGATCGCGCAGCTTTGCGCCCGTCTCGACATCGCGGAGGCGAAGTTGGGTCCTCCCGGTCCGCACTCGGGATGGGAGCAACTGTCAACTGCCGGGACGCCGCGAGAGGCGGCCGCCATCTTCGCCGCGACGCCCCAGCTGGCTATTTTGCCTGCGACGTCGCCAGCGGCGGCCATGTTGGTTGGGGCGCCTCAGGCGGCCGCCATTTTAACTGCGACGCTGCAGGTGGCGGCCATTGTTCATGCGACGCCGCACGTCGGCGCCATGGCTGCCATGGCAACTGCGACGCCGTTGTCCACCGTGGGTGCCGCCGCGACTTCGCGCCACACCGCGCGCGCGGGGTCTGCCAGCGGCGATGCCACAGCTCCGCACCATGCTGCGCCCGCCGGGGGAGCCCCAGGTACGTCCGGGGCTCCACACCTCGCCGCACCACGGGAGTTGCCGAGGGTGCCGCCGTGGTTCCGGCCATCGCCGCGCTGGCGGGGTACGCTGCGGGTGTCGCCGTGGCCCCGTGCATCGCTGCCGCGGCTCCTCACGATGCCGCGCCGCGGAAGTTGCCGCGGTTCCGAGCATCGCCGTGCCTGCGGGGTTTGGCGCGCCCGCCACCGCGGCTGCTATAGTTGCCGCGGCCGCGGGGTGGGCCGAGGGTCACGCCGGGGCACCGCACCTCGCTGTGCATGCGGGGTTTGCCGCCGGCGACACCGCACCAGGCTGCTATTTTGCCTGCAGCGATCGCGGTGGGGGCCGCCGGCGACGACGCGGCCCCGCACCTCGCGGTGCCTGGGCGTTGCCATGCCGACGCCGCGGCTCTGCATCTTGCCGCGGCATGGGCAGCAGGAGCCGCCGCTCGGGCCGGCGCGCGCCTGGCAGGAGCTGCGTTGGGCTGCTGGGCTGCTGCGGCTCTCCCGGGGCCTGTCACTAGCTGGCACGGTGCCTGCCCTGGCGATTCGTGCCACATGGGGAGGCGTGCGCTTTGTTGATGGCCTGTGGAAACGCTGCCGTCGGCCTCCAGCCCTCATCGCTCAATTGTGTTATGTTGGCGTGTTTTGTCTAAGACTGCCCAATTGTCCGTTTTGGTGTGTTTTGTCTGGGCTGCTCAATTGTTCAATTGTTGTTTGTTGGTGTGTGTTGTCTGGGCCATCGGGATTCCGCCTTTGTATTGATGGCAGCGCGTGATGAGAGTTTCAAAGTTTTGAAATTTGATTGATTGTTGTCATGCTGCCTGGATGTTGTCGGTTGGTTGTGAATATGTTGGTTTGTGGTTCTGGGACTCCTCTACTCTTATATTGTTTACAGCCGAGTCGGCTGAATTTTTTTCACAGGGGGGGGTGATGTAGAGGAGTAGTGGAGAGTGGTGGCGTCGTGTGCGCTGTCCGGTGCGGTGACCTCACGGGACGTGGGGTCGCACGCGCTGGGCAGTGCACGTGACATCACCCCTCCGAGGGTATATAAGGGAGACCCCGTAACGTAAGCGGGGTCACTGGAGGAACGGGGATAGTGGAAGGGGTAAAGAGGGAACCAGGGATAGTGATAAGTGTTAATAAACCCTGGCGGAAGCCCCTAACTCAACCTCCGTCTCCGAGTACCTCCGTCTACGATACAACACATGTATTCAAAATATCATAGATATGCTGTAACGATGTTTTAACACACCCAAGCCACATGCATTCAGAATATCATAACCATGCTCCAACACACCCAAGTCACATGTATTCAGAATATCATCGCCATGCCAACACACCCAAGTCACATGTATTCAAAATATCATCGCCATGCCAACACACCCAAGTCACATGTATTCAGAATATCGTAATCATACCAACACACCCAAGTCACATGTATTCAGAATATCATAGACATGTCTGATCCATGCTCCAACACATAGGCAAGTGCATTCACAATACCAGAGCTTCATCCATGCTTGATTCCAGCATGGATAAAGCGTGGATCAAGCTGCGATATTTTAAATATTAATGTTTTAATCGTGACAATGATCCCTTGCCTTATCGCATTAACATAACGCGCCATTCATTCTGTCGCAAATTCATTTTTTATCCAGTTCTAGCGCCGCCAATTTATCGCCATCGAAGTCGCGCAAATTAAATCTTCGCCCTGCGGTTGCGTCGTTGACCGCACGACGCTGTTGGAACGCGTCGCTGGCGAATCGCCCAGCAGGGAGCCACCGCGCTCCAGGATCGACTCTGCGTACTTCTCTCTGCGTGAGCTGCAAGACGCTCGCACGCAGCTCCGTCGCTGCAAGCGCCTTGCAGCGACGGTCCACGCGGAGGCGACGCAGTTGCGTGCGCGCGAGTTGAGCTAGCGGCAGAGGTCGCAAATGGGTTTTGATTCCTTACCCGTACCCGGCCGCACCAGGGTCGCAAACGGGTAGGGTACGGCAGAGGTGGGACAAAGTCATTGTTATGCAAGTCCAAGTCGAGTCTCAAGTCATCAAATTCATGACTCGAGTCTGACTCGAGTCCAAGTCACATGACTCGAGTCCACACCTCAGAGGTGGGACAAAGTCATTGTTATGCAAGTCCAAGTCGAGTCTCAAGTCATCAAATTCATGACTCGAGTCTGACTCGAGTCCAAGTCACATGACTCGAGTCCACACCTCAGAGGTGGGACAAAGTCATTGTTATGCAAGTCCAAGTCGAGTCTCAAGTCATCAAATTCATGACTCGAGTCTGACTCGAGTCCAAGTCACATGACTCGAGTCCACACCTCAGAGGTGGGACAAAGTCATTGTTATGCAAGTCCAAGTCGAGTCTCAAGTCATCAAATTCATGACTCGAGTCTGACTCGAGTCCAAGTCACATGACTCGAGTCCACACCTCTGGGGTACGGGTATCGGGTACCTGATTGCGACCTCTGGGATGAAGCCATGTTGCAGGCGCGGGTGGGTTGATTCTAGGAACTTGAATTGTGAGAAGAGACAAGACGTTGGGAAATGAGTGACAAACAGTGACTCACCAGTGACTCACGGTCTACCCGTACCCTTACCCGGCCGCACCAGGGTCGCAAACGGGTACCCGTACCCGGCTGGGTACGGGTAGCCGGGTATCGGGTAGGGTACGGGTATCGGGTACCCGGTTGCGACCTCTGGCGAGCGGTCGCTCAGATGCGGACGCGGCTTAAGATCCCGCAATTACTTACACGGAGACCCACAATATCGAGACTCGCACACTGCATACTGCATAATGCACGGGCATAATATGACTTTGAACCCCCCCCCCCCCACCTCCTACGCATTCCACAAGTAGTGACTAATCCCATATCTGCATTTTCCATAAATATGCTAAATTCCTCTTGATATGCAAATTCCTTTGTCAAGGCGCCCCTTCCCCCTCCAACCCAGCTTTAATAAACGCTGCCAAGCTTGGTTCATTCGGACGCTGTCTTTCCGACAGACCTGTTCTTCACCTGAGGACGGCTGCTTGCGTTGCGGCCGAAACGTCGTGAGAATTATTTTATGATGTTTGATTTTTATTATTTTATTATTTCCATTCTACGTGACTTTACCGAAAGAACCAAGAAGATGAAGACCTGGAGTGGTCTCTGTCCAGCGAGCAAAGGGGTGACGAGAGAGAGAGAGGGAGACCTCGCTAAAGCAGGAGCACATGGCGGTGAGGTTTGTGTCGGTGTCTCCCACCACTGTGCTCCGGGCCTCCTGCACGATGCGGCCTGTGTGTGTGTGTGTACACGTGTGTGTGTGTGTGTGTACCGTTCCGGCCTTCATAAGTGCTCGTTAACAGCACTTGCCTCTATAATCTGTTAAGGCTATACGGGGGATCTTTGTTTGATTGTGCACAGTAGGGGGCACAGGTGGTGCATTGGCCACTCATCTCAGTTGGTCGACCCGTGGCACCTGCTGGGTCTGCCCCGTGACCTCCTGCCAGCGGGCGTTCGACACTTCACGTGGTCTCAACGTGCACCTAGCCTGGCACAAGCCTCGTGGTGACGTCACCGCCACTTAGTGGCGAATGGCGGTTGTTGTTGTTATTGTGTGCACCCTGAACGATTTGGTAACTTGGGTGTATGAGACTGGTGTGTATATGGTTAAGACTTGCAATGTAGAATACTGAAATAATAGTGGTAGGAACCTCCTGGTTACACCAGCCCACAGGGGATTATTGTGTCCGTCCGTCCGTCGTGCATCCAAAAATGGGAGGGGTGGGGCTGGGTGGAGAGGGGAGGGTGGGGATGAGCTGGGTGGGGAGGGTGGGGAGGGGCTGGGTGGGGAGGGGAGGGCTGGGTGGGGAGGGGCTGGTCACCCCGTGGTGCCCTTATAAAACTCAACGTTTAACCTACTCACGCCGGCTTTTGCCCGCCCTCACAGTCGGGCATATTTGCGGAATACACCACGCCGCCGTTGACCCTGCAGGCCATTGACCGAGCAACCCAACGTTCCTACCAGCTCCCTCCGCAGGAATGTGTTTCGATGAGACAGGGTAGTGAGTGTCGGATCGATTGTCGTCTTGCAAGGTCTGGAACGCGCTGGCAAGCGACGCTGCACGCGGTGGTGGCGGCTGGCGAAAGCAGCGAGCGCCGTGGGTCATCACGACGATGATGCTGATGCCGATGATGCTGATGCCGATGATGCTGATGCCGATGATGCCGATGATGCTGATGCCGATGATGATGATGACACCTTGATGTTGATTTGAGTGGCATGACCGCGACGTACAAAGCCACGCGTGTCGTGAAACGGAGGCGAAGCGTCGTGAAACGGAGACGACGCGTCGTGAAACGGACTCGACGCGTCGTGAAACGGACTCGACGCGTCGTGAAACGGACTCGACGTGTCGTGAAACGGATGCGACGCGTCGTGAAACGGAGGCGACGCGTCGTGAAACGGACTCGACGCGTCGTGAAACGGACTCGACGTGTCGTGAAACGGATGCGACGCGTCGTGAAACGGAGGCGACGCGTCGTGAAACGGACTCGACGCGTCGTGAAACGGAGGCGACGCGTCGTGAAACGGACTCGACGTACCTTCGACGGCGGTGGCCGCTTGCAGCAGGTGCAGCAGGAGAGTCACGTGGGCAGTCGGAGAGTTCCACCTCGTCTCCATCGCCTGATGAGTATCCCGGGAGGTGTAAGTGGTGGACACGCGCGCGCGTGTGTGTGTATACACGTGTGTGTGTACACGTGTGTGTGTACGTGTGTATACGTGTGTGTGTGTGTATACGTGTGTGTACACGTGTGCGTGTGCACGTGTGTGTACACGTGTGTGTGTACACGTGTGTGTATACGTGTGTGTGTGTACGTGTGTGTGTGTGTACACGTGTGTGTGTGTACACGTGTGTGTATACGTGTGTGTGTGTACACGTGTGTGTGTGTACACGTGTGTGTATACGTGTGTGTGTGTGTACACGTGTGTGTGTGTACGCGTGTGTGTATACACGCGTGTGTGTGCACCCTGCACAATTTGGTAAGACTTGTATAAGATGTTAGTGTGGGTGTGTATGAGACTGGTGTGTATGTGGCAAGACTTACTGTGCAGTATAATACTGAAATAGTTCGATTAGAGAGTGGTGAGTATCGGGTCGAATTGCAGACTTGCAAGTTCTAAGGAGGAGGAGGATGAGTAAAATGTGTGTGTGTTAAGGGGAAGCCGTATTTATATGGGAGCTCAGTGAGCGCACAAGCCCAATACCACACCCATCCACAACCACAATCACCACCCACCCACAACCACTCACCAACGCCACACAGACGCACAAGCGCGCGCGAGATAAAGGCAAAGCTACCCCGTGTAGCCTTAACAGGCTGTTGGGGCAAGTGCTGTTAGCGAGCACCTATGAAGGCCGGCACGGCACACGAGGGGGTGGGTGGCCAACACCACACTCGACCGCCTTTGTCTCCCTAGTGACGATGTTTACACATCGCGCCAGGTACTCATTTGAGGCTGAGTCGACCTAGGGGAGGCCCGGGGCCGGTGCAGATAATCGTCACTGGTGTTGGCCGTGAGCGGAAATCGAACCTGAGTCGCCAAGTTCATAGCGCAGCGCGCTAACCGCTTCGCCACCGCTCCCCACACAAAGATAAAGGGAAAGATCCCACGTATAGCCTTAACAGACTGTAGGGGCAAGTGCTGTTAACGAGCACTTGTGAAGGCCGGAACGGTACACGAGGGAGTGGGTGGCCAACACCACACCCGACCGCCTTTGTCTCCCCAGTGGCGATGTTTACACATCGCACCAGGTACTCATTTAAGGCTGAGTCGACCTAGGGGAGGCCCAGGACCGGTTGAGATAAATCGTCACCGGTGTTGGTGGCCGTGAGCGGGAATAGAACTCGGGTCGCCGGGTTCGTAGCGGCAGCGCGCTAACCGCTGCACCACCGCTCCCCACACACACACAGACACACACACACAAAGACACACACACAAAGACACACACGTTGTGAGCTCAACGCTTAACCGATGGTGAGTGGCACGTCGCGCCAGGCAGTGCGTGGCGAACATCACCACAGCGCGGCCGTTTTTGTCTCCCCGGTGCGCCGCTGTTGACTGAGCCGCACGTCGCCAGCGACCCATTGTCGAGGCCGAGTCGACCTAGTGGAAGGCCAGGACCGGTTCACGTAATTCGCCATCGTCGGCGGAGTCGAGGAGAGTTCCGACCTTGGGGGAAGCCCCGGTTCGGCGCTTCGTTCACGCAGCGCGCTAACCACTGCGCCACCGCTCGTCACGCACACACAGTGGTGTACCTAGCCTGGTACCACACACACACACAAACACAAGTTCACACGCAGACTTCAAAGCCAGCGGCCGATTTAAGGGGCCCAAACACGACGACTTTATTGCGATTAAAAAGCGTGACTTTGAACGGTGTATAGATCCGGCTCTATTCCATATACACAATCATACACACAACTATACACAATCATACACAACTACACACAATCATACACTACACACACGCATACACACAACTACACACACGCATACACACAACTACACACAATCATACACACAACTATACACAATCATACACACTACACACAATCATACACTACACACACGCATACACACAACTACACACACTCATACACACAACTATACACAATCATACACACAACTATACACAATCATACACACAACACACAATCATACACAACTACACACACGCATACACACAACTACACACAACTATACACAATCATACACACAACTATACACAATCATACACACAACTACACACAATCATACACACAACTACACACAATCATAGACGCAACTACACACAACGCAAAATCCGATCTCGAGCATTGTAATGACAGCCACGGAACTTCCACGGATATCTATCATGAGGACCTATCGATGATGTCCATCCAAGGAACTTCCACGGATATCTATCGTGAGGACATCCATCCCGACGATGAAGCCACAGGCACATCCGCGGATGCACCCTTCTCAATAAGCTCCCGTCGATTTTCATCGGCGAAGGCTCAAAGAAAAAAAATCCACGAAAATCCAAACCCGCCCGCCCATCCCAGCGAAGACCTGGAAACTTCCACGGAGATTCTCCCTCCCGTCTCGGGGTCAGACGAGGTCAGGGTCACATAATGTCCCGCGGTGGGGGTGGGGGGGTCACTCTAGGACATGTAGAGAGGAGGGAGGGGTGGGTGGAGGGGGGCTGTGACGTCACCGGATCGAGATTTTTGCACGATAGCGCACGATATGAGATCGCGATGTAACGATTATCGCGATTCTAGATTTGAAGCTTTCGTGACTGCAAGGATTCATACTCTTAGGTTGTTTGGGTAAAGTCACGTAGGTGAATAATAAATAATAATAAAAAAATAGAAATAATAATTTTATTTCTATTATTATTTATATTATTTTTTACCCCATTCGCTTTGTGGTGCTTTGCTGCACTGCAAGAGTGAAACGATGTATGTGTACGTGAATCTACGATATTTAACATCATCACTGCAACCACTATCCACCAGTAGTTTATGATCGAGGTGGTGTTGATGATAATTCACTACGTAACACAATTTTTGTTCCTGGGTATTAAGTGTTATTTTTTAATTGCTGATGCCTAAAAAGTATAGTAAATGGCTATTATTCCCCACAAACTTTGCTTTTGTGAACAGGACTTTACGTGAAGGAATGACACAAAAATCGCCCGTTTTCTCTTAAAAAATAGGTAAATTTCAACATATCACTGCCCTGGTCACAAAAGCAAAGTTTGTGGAGAATAAGAGCCATTTTCTGTTCTTTTGAAACATAGACAATTAGGAAATAACATTTACTACCCAGGAACAAAAAAAAAATGTTTTCTTACATAGGATTATAATTAAAAAATATTTAGCGTCGTTCATGCTCGGTGCCGCGGTGGGGAGATGTTAACTACCTCGCCTGGTATACAGGAGGGACCTGGGTTCGATCCGGACCCTGAGGGCTGCTGTATACTTGGGAGTTTGCGTGTCTCTCTCCCCGTGGTGGCATGGATTTTTGTCCAGGTTCCTCCGGTGTTTCTCTCCACATTTAGAAACGCGCGTTCCGAGTGTTTGGTGGCTATAAATGTCCACATCATGAGCCGCTTTGTTGAGCTATCATTTATGATAACCAGATCGCTTCTGAAAAGGAGCTGCATAGCTGCGGGCCTTACCTGGTAAAATAAAATAAAAAACATCTAATCCTGCATAACGCACGGGCATAATATGACTTCTTCCCCCCTCCAACCCAGCTTAAATATACGCTCCAAGCTTGGTGGTGTTTCATTCTTCACCTGAGGACGGCTGCTTGCGTTGTGGCCGAAACGTCGCGAGAATTATTTTATTATTTTGATTATTTTATTACTTCCCTTCTACGTGACTTTACCGAAAGAACCAAGAAGATGAATCCCTGCAGTCACGAAAGCTTTAAATCGAAAAATAAAAAAAGTAGTTCGTAGGTTAGTTTTAGAGTTTATAATTGCATCTCACAACGCTGTACATTAGGTATATGCAAGGGCCAAATAGTGACTGCTAAGCCAATGAAAAAAACCCTCTGAAAATCTTTAAGACTCAGCAAATAAATGGCGCCAAAACTAAAAGTCACGAACAACAAAACTGTCATCACAACAGAGACATTATTGGTCTATTCGGTCATCAGGAGGGTGACCCAGGACATCAGGGGGCCGCGCGTGACAAAGCTCGTCCGTCCGACCGATCGGCTCTGAGTGATTCTTTTGGGGGGCGCAGAAGCAGGCACTCGAAGGCATGAACCGAGAACTCGGGGAGGGGATTGAACTGAACTCGGGGGATAAAGATAGGCGGGGATGGGGGTGGTTGTGGGGGTGTCTAGCCCGTGACGAATGTTCAAAACGGTGAGTGAGCGAGTTCAAAGTTGGAAGTTGATTTTCTGAGCTCGATAGATACCCAGTGGAGGGATCTTACAATGGGGGTAACACGAAGGTTAACCGCGTGATGATGATGATGGTGGCGCTCACGTTCACCGGTAGGCGTAATCTCAGCCGGAACAATCCGGAACGCCGCTGTTCCAGGCTAACGCACGCACGGTACTTTACGCAAAAGTATCGTCCAAATAGGATCGTGGTTACGCGAGACTTATTCGTAATCCCGTGTTACGGGCGGACGGACGGAGGCTAACGCATACTCTTAGGTTGTTTCGGTAAAGTCACGTAGGTAAAAAAATCTAAATTAAATTAAAATTAATAAAAGTAAAATAAAAATCACGACGTTTCGGAGGCAACACAAGCTTCCGTCTTCAGGTGGAACCGTCACAGCACGCTTGCTGTATCAAGTACAGAGGCTAACGCGTCAACACCTTGAACCCTCCGTTGCCTGCTACGTGTTAAAGCGGAACGAACGCTGCACAACCTCCGGCTCGGAACAGCTCGTGAATAGAATCTGCGACGAATCCACCATACGGTGTATAGCGGAGCGGTGTTTTCACACGACAACCCCCCCCCCCCCCCCATCAAACCAGTTGCAGATGAGAGGTCGCCTACTGAGCCGGGGAGTTCAGTAGCCGTGTCAGGGACACACCAAGTCAAGACCACTGGAGGGCCAGGGTTTGACAAGCGGTTTCTCGAGTGTGATGAATTTCATGGTCTCAGCTCAGTCACCAACGACACTACAGAGACGTGAAATAGACACCCACAGGTCGACACAGAGACTCGTAGACTCGCACAGACTGAGTTGCCGTTAAACCTGGTTCGCAGGTGTGGTGAGTTGATTGGTCTCAGTCCGGTCGCCAATGACTTCCAGAGAGACCCAGAGACTTACACAGAGAGAGAGAGACTCGCATACAGGGGCTCCTCTACTTACGAACGAGTTAGGTTCCAGAGGTCTGTTCGTAAGTCGATTTGTTCATAAGTCCACCTTTATTCCTGACGACTCCAAACATGTTGTACGGAATGTACACTAAACACGGGGAATGGCTTTAAAAGTGTTCATGTTCTGCTGATGTAGTTGACACTGGTTCTTCACGTTATGTCGATGTAGATGCCACTGGTTCTTCACGTTTTGTCGATGTAGATGCCACTGGTTCTTCATGTTCTGCTGATGTAGATGGCACTGGTTCTTCACGTTTTGTCGATGTAGATG